GGCGTTTTTACCTTGGCCTTGAGTGCGGCCGCCGCTTTTTTCTGCAAGATCCTTGCGGATGGATGCAGAGGATCGCCTGGGAGTCTTCTCCGTCTGCAACATGTTTAATGCTTCTTCTGCAAAAAAGAGAGATTGGTCAATATCATAAATCAATTCCGATACAAAAATACTACAGACGGATATAAACTTAAGCGCATAAGTTTGGTAAAGATGTGTCCTAGCCCGCAGGCGGCTAGGAAACACTCGTCCCTGAACCAGGCGCTCTTAGGGATCCAGTTCTTGGGGACTTTTATTGTTTCCCCGGTTGACAAGGTCGCGTCTGTGAGGCCGAAAAAGTCTGCCTCAATGATCTTGTCAAAATCTTCCTCTGGGATCCGAGGAAGAGCGCACTTCTAGCCCATCAAGTCGGGCTTCTTATTGTACTGACGGAATTCATAATTCTCCCGACTGCTGGGAGCTGACATCAGGAAGAACCTGTGCTTCCAGCCGTCGAATTTCGAGACCTTGTCCAAGGTCATCATGTATTGGGGATGCGTGGTTAGAGTGTACCACGCCCTCAAGCCGCCTAGGCTTCTGCTAAGATAATGCATGCTAGCAAAAGCCTCCCAGCCGGGGTTAAGCCCCTGGAACTCGCAGGCGGCAACATACCCCGGAATGTTTGTCCAAGAGTTGGGGGTAAGTTGCCAGACTCCGAGGCCGTATCCTCTCAATATTGCCTTCACCGCCTGGTGAAGGGGGAAGCGAAGACCAGCCTTGAACGCCGCCTCATAACAGCCGAAATAGATGTTGGCGTTCTCTTGATCATCCTCCCATGCGATGTGCCATCCTTAGGTGGCACCCGGATTCTATACCCGTCTCCTAACGGGTGCATTTGCGTAAAGTTTTTAAGTTCTCCTCCATTTGGATCCGGTCCTTGGAGGAGACGTGGATGTTGAAGGAATCGTCCTTCTCGTTCCACTTCTTCCTTTCTTCCTCCTCGCTATCCTCAAGCGGAGGCGGAGCTGTTGCTCTCCGTCTCCTCCTCATTCTGGGTCAAAGGGGCAAAGGCGGCCTCATCGCCGCCTTGGTCGTACTCTTCTAGAAAGGAATCTGCGGGAGTTGAAGGGGCGCGCGGAGGGGATCTCTCCAGAGCCGTCTGGCCTCCCTGACCAGACGTTTCTCCCTCAGGCGTTTGGCCGCCTGAGCCTTCGCTTCTGTAGTTTGGATCAGTGGCCGTCTGCATAGTCCGAGCCATTGTGTCCTGCACAGACACATAAATGGTCGAAATCCAAGGCAAAGGGTGGTCCCAACACCCCGAGACGGCACTCCCAGTCCTAGACTCAGCCGTCCCAGGTGACCGGCTGGACTCTAACCTAGGTTGTGCCGTGTGTGTTGGTGATGCATCCATTTATTGCAAGAAATATGTACAAGCAGTGAAACAAGAAAAAGAGCTGAGAGAGGCAAAGACGGTACCTTTGGATTTGATATCTGAAAGCGGACGGGTCCGGCTAAGTTGATGGAGTACGAGCTTCCTTGCTTGCGCCTGACTCAAACGGATGACTTCTGCTCTCTCAAAGTTTTCTCTCTAGAAAATTTTTGTAAACGTACAAAATTATGAGGGTAAACGGCTATATATAGAGGGTAAATACGGGGGAATTTCCGTAATTTACTCGAAAGGTGAACGATTACTTCTTTATGGTAAAATTACCACCAATCGGAGCGTGACACATGTCACAGATGCCATGTGGCGTGCCACGTCACATCTGTGAGGGGCAAATGTTTAGGGTAATTTTACCCCGCCACGTGGTCCAACCAGAGGACGACACGTGTCATCTTCAGGTTGGCCCATAGTGGACCAATCAATGCCTGACACGTGTCATTCCAGAAATTAAGGGAAACAAGGGCGGCCTTCAGGCCCAAATCCCGAGAAAGCCGCAAAGCGGCGCAACCCACCAATGATTAGGGCTTGATGACCTAATCTGGGGCACAATTCCCAAAGACCCTATAAATAGGGAGAGGTCCCTCTTTTTGAGGGCACGTTTTACCATTTATTACACCTGCATTCTCTCACATCAGAGAAAGACCTGAGCTTGGAATCCGAGCAGATACCCACCTAAATTTCCGTTCTCTTTATTCCTTTTCAAGTTACTAACTTGATCGTTGGAGGCGGAGCTCCACCCACCCGAAGTCTCCGTTATTTTGCAGGTACAGCTCACGCCGGATCAGTCTTCGTGTTGTAACTCTCCCGAGGGACTAAAACACCTAAAACAATTACCTTTGCTAAAATTCTTAAAAATATAGTTATTGTTGATAAAAAAAATGATGTGACATATCATTACATAATATTTTGTTCGTCAAGTCCTCTAAGAATAAATTCCATATACAATGTTATATGGAGTATTTTATTCTATTTTGCAAATATATTTCATCCATATATATTTAACTACATTCAGCCACAATTTTTTTTTTAAAAAAACTCTTAGAAAATACTTCATATTTAACAAGTTGCGCTACTTTGCAACCATATTTCTTCCATAATTGTTTAACTTAATATTTTTATATCTATTGTATGTGGTAAGGAATATTTGCGAAAAATACTATTGACTTTTTTAATCTAATTGGAATTGATCTACTATAAGAATATTTTTAGAAAACTTTTGAATGAAATTTGATTCGGAGTACATAATTTTCTTATTTTATGTATCTGGTTCACAAGATGTATACAATCAATTTTTAAAAATACTTTGTTAATCATATAATCAACGTAACTAATAATGCTCAATTTTGTTAATCATATGCATACAAATTTATTGTATTGTTAAAATACTTTGTTAGTCTTATGCTTACAAATTTAATCGATCTTTATGTTTCTATATTGATATGATAAAATATATGAAACGAAAAAATGTTTAAGGTCTATTTTGATTTATAAATTAGTGACCTATTTTCTTGAAAAATAACAAAGACCAAATTAGGTTAAATGACACATGAAAAAAAATTAATTTTTGTATAATTTATGAATAATCCTCGTGCATTGCACGGGACCTAAACTAGTATCTCAAATGCTTATGTTTTTAAATCTAAATCACAAAAAATTAATTAAAATATCATTTGTGAATAGTGTTAAAAGTCAAAACGTATCTTCTAATTTTAAAAGAAGAAAAGTACTTGTTTCACACAATAATTCATACCATTGTAGGCATTGTTTTACAACACTCGTGCATTTCACATTAAAATAGGAAATAAAATAAATAAAATAAAATAAATTGGCTCAAAATTGATTTTACCACAATCTAATTCCAAGCCCACAAGCAAGAGAAAATCGTGTGTGTACAACCCCACAAAAAAAAAAAAAAAAAAAAGGCATGTTTGGATATTAATTATTGTGGGCATGTTTTGATTTACTGAAAACAGGTGAACTGAACTGATTGAGATTGAAATGAAGTGAGTTGAACTGAATACAACTGAAATGAAATGTTATGAGAGAAGGAAATTAGGAACTGAACTGAACTGATTGAAGCTTAACTGAGCTGAACTGAAGTAAAATTAAGTTGAACAAAACAGGCCCTTAGTGTACATTTATATACTAAGGGCTTGTTCTGATTTATTGAAGTGAACTAAACTGAATTGTTTATGAAAGAAGAAAATTAGGAACTGAATTGAAGTGAACTAGACTAAACTAATTGAAACTTAACTGAAGTGAAATTAAGTTGAACAAAACAGACCCTTAGTATACATTTATATACTAGGGGCTTGTTCTGATTTACTAAAGTGAACTAAACTGAATTTAGCTGAAATGAATTGTTTATGAAAAAAGAAAATTAGGAATCGAATTGAAGTGAACTAGAACTAAGCTGAAAAAAACGGGTCCTAAATTAATAAACCATAATTCAGTGCTCGGTCAATATCTCAGGTTATTGATAGAATTTTTGAGGTAAACATTTTTCCCACATGCCAAATCTTAATACATTTTTTTTGTTGTTTTTTTGAACGGGTCAAATCTTAGGGTCTGTTCTCATTGACTGGACTGAACTGAACTGAAGTGAACTGAATATTTTATAAGAGAAGGAAATTAGGAGCTAAACTGAATTTCAACGTAAGAGAACAGACCCTTAATACATATTATTGATACGAATCATATTATATACAAAACATATAGTTCATTTTAATGTACGTATGCTATTTTGACTTAGCTAGGATAACATTGATTTATACATAAACAATATGAGAAATAACGGTATAGTTTCTTTCTCTCTCTCTTTTTTTTTTAAAAAAAAATATTTTGAAAATAATTAGTCAATTTATTAATGTTTTGCATTTAATTTGATTTTTCACTATTAGTCAAAATTAATAATTTTGCATCTGATATGTGTCGGAGATGTCCCTACCACGTACGAGACATGTGTGGGAGATGTCCCTACCGCGTTAGGAACAGTTGTCAGATATGTCCCTCCAACAAATAGGATATCTGTAGGAGACATCCTTACTGTCGTGGTTAGGACATCTCCCACAGACGTCTAAAATATTTATCGGCGATACATTAATACTATTTTCGACAACTATTTAACTAACCTCCAGCGGTGTGGTGGTGGTGACGATGGTCAGGGTATTAGTGGTGGTGGCGGTGTAGGTGTTGTGGTGTGGTGGTCTAAATTTGTAGTTTGAAAGGTAAGTATGGATGCGGATATAATAACATTTGAAAGTAAGGGTAATATGGTCATTAACAATATCAGCTTTAGTATTTTTTTTTTATGTCCTCAAATAGCAATTCAGTATCTTATCTTTGTCGAGATTGTAGCTTAAATTGATATTATTTGGATTTTTATTACTCCGTACTAACTTCATTTCATATTATTTGCAACAGTTAGACATTTATCCTCTCTATTTTATGTCTAATCGTTATAAATAATATGAAACGGAAGTAGTTTTTACAGCTATTCATTATGAATGCTCTAATTATTTTTGGAAGTGTCATAAACTTATACCAATATATCCCGCCAAAACGTAAATATACTCAACTTAGTAGCGCTAAACTCGAAATTCAAAGAAAATTAGAAATAAAGCTTCTCTTAAACTACTCCTACTTCAGCTAGACATTTTCACAAACACTTGGTGGGCATCCATTTGATCCAAATCTCCCTCTCAAAACCTCAACAATGAAGTTCAAGGCAAACCTGACAGAAAATGGAGTAACCCTTTTAGAGAGAAGATTCATCCCTGCCTTAGAAAAAATGGGGAAAATCTGCCATGTTTATCTCACCAAAGATCACACCTTCTTCCTCCACAACCTCCTTACCAATGATGGTGTTCAGTCAATTGCCCAATTCAGAATCGATGCTTTGTTCTCTTATTACAGCGTTACCAGCCAAAACGAGGATCGTATCGCCTTCTCCCTCGATCTCTCTCTCCTCCTCCGCGCCCTCCGATCAGCCGCCGCAATCTCCTCCGCCGTTGATCAACTCCAAATCAAGCTTGTCAAGAAATTACCCCCAAATTCCACCAACCCAATGCCGTTTCTGACATTTGAGACTAAAGGGTATGCTTCTGCTGTGATTCAGGACATTCCGATATCGAAACCCCTTTCGAGGGCTCATGTTTCGGAGCTCCAAACTGCTTTGGATGATGCTCAAGAACTACCAAGAACCCTAGTTGGGGTCAGTGAATTGGACAGTTTGCTCAATTTTGTTGAGAGGATGAAGCAATTGGGTGATGTAATGGGGGTTGAGATTGGTAAAAATGGGGAATTGGGTTTGAAGGTTTCAAGCAGTTTGGTGAATTTAGGGGCTGAATTTAAGAGATTGATGATTATTGGAGAGGATAGTGAGGAGATAAATGGTGATGGTGGGATGAATGTGTTGGTTAGTATGAAGCACTTTGTTAAGTGTTTGCAGTGTCATTTGGCTAAACCTGATTGTGCTTTCTATGGAGTTGGGTCTCAGGGTGGTTCTTTGACTGTGGTTTATCAGTTCTTCGTTCCCGGGTCGAGGCAGACCGATAAATCCATCAGCTTCCATTGTAGGCTCCCAGTGCTTGATCCTGGTTCTTGATTGCATATATTGCTCTTTCAGGTTTTGACATTTCTGGGTTCATCTGTAAGTCTACTGAATTCCGAATTTGTTTCAAGTCCCTAAGACTCAAATTGTTGGATGTTGCGACTTTGATATGCATAGTGTGGAATGTTTGTTTCAGTGTGTGTAGTGTGTTTATTCTCGTTTATATTCAGAACTGTGTTTAGGAAAACACGACGTAATCTATATAAAATCAGATGGTGTGATAGCCTTCATTGTGACCCCATGGATTACTACTGTCCAATGATGCAAGTGCTTCATATACTGTGCATCTCAATAGCACAAAATGAAAAACAAATTTAGTACGACAATAAAAATTGACCACTTCTGGTGCAAGAACATAGTAGTTCTTTCGTATGCCGATTTAAAGTAAATGAAGCCAAATCAACGAACCTGTACATTAAAAAATTGACTTACTAATTAGCAAAGAATATCACTGACTATACTTTCAAGCTTCATCATCTAATGATGCTGTTTCTTACTCAACCAAGGCAAAGAAAATTCCAAACCACTCTGAATAAGATTGTGCATGAGTTGGACATGGATTAGCGTTAATTGCTCTGATGCTTTTCCTCCCCTGTGTTCTTTTCAAGAGGCTTCAAATCAGGTTCCGAAGCTTGATTCTGTATCAACATCAGCTAAAAGGGATCAAAGCATGCCCGCAAAACGTATAAACAATAAAACAACCTGTGAAGCATATAAGAGCTCGAAAGAATAAATGCATGGACAATAAGTCCTATAAACTCTAAATTCATGGCTAAATGTGGACAAAAAGTGCATCCAGAAAGCGTGAACAGAACCAATTATCAATCTTACTACTAAAATTAGTGATCTTTGCGTATCATTCTGCTTGTTGGCCCTTGCATGCAGGGACTTGCTTCCAACGTATCCACCTTTGCATATTGTAACTTTGTAAGTCATTATCTGAAATTTTCAGTTGCTGATGAGTGCTGCTACACTTGATGCAGAGAGATTTTTTTCAGTACTTGGAGGCTGTCCAATCATCCGTATGTCCGAACTCACTCATCGAGCATGTGGTTGTTGCTTCTTCGTTCCAAGGCTTTGGCAGACTACTAAGTACTCCCTCAGTCCCTTAATACAAAACCTCTTTTAATTTTTGCGCGGGAGTTAAGAAAGTTGTAAATCCTATTAAACTAATGATTAAAAATACATTTGTGCATGTGGGTTAGAGAGAAATACGGAGAAAGAAAAAGTAGTTGGGAATAATTGAAGAGATAGAGAGAGAAAGTGTTGGAAATTAATGTTAAAAGTACAAAAAAAAGTAAAAAAAGATGAACTCATCAAAAAAAAGTGTAATAATGTCAAAAAATACAACCTTTAAATAGTAAGAGACATTGTATTTTGGTTTACCCAAAAAAGAAATGAGGCTTTGTATTAAGGGACGTAGGGAGTACTAATTACCATAAGGGCTTGTAAAAATTGTTCGTCCTGTATATACTTAATGTATGTGGATTAATACAGTGTGAGGGTACTACTAACTACCATAGGTAGTTATAAAAATTGTTATGCTACTACGAAGTAAAAAATTTTGTTTAATTTTAGGCCTACAAATCTTTTAGAATACATTGAAACTACTCGTAGTTAATTCGATTAGAATTTTTAGATTATAATTCTGTTAGTTCTACCTACATAGTATCTTGGAAAATGAAACCGGGAAAGTAGAACGCACGTATAATACATAAACAAATATGGAGTGTAAAAAAAATGATATAATCGTGTAGAAGCCAGGTTGCGGCTAAAGAGAAGAGTGATTCATTTCCTTTCAGTTTCCTAGTTAAAGATCAAATCTTTTTCCTTTTCTTCCCTTCCTCATGGTTGGAGCAACACCACCACTTCTGCCTGATACTCAGAGCCCTCTGTATATTCATCCCAATGACACTCTTGTTACTCCGGTGGGAGAAAAGCTGCAAGGTTCCATGAACTACAGATCTTGGAAGAGATCCATGGAAATCTCTCTAGCATCGAAGAGAAAGCTGGGTTTTGTCACTGGAACTATAGCCAGAGACAGATCTGATGCAAAGAAGCAGGAACAGTGGGATACTTGTAATAGTGTTGTGATGGCTTGGCTGCATGGTTCAATGACTGAAACAATAAAAAAAATCAGTTCTTTATTTGAACACAACAAGAGACATATGGGTACAGCTTGAGAGAAGGTTCACCATGTCAAATGGGTCTAGCAAGTATAGGCTAAGCAAGGAGCTCTATGAGACCAAGCAGAATGGGAGCACCATCAGTGAACACTTCACTAAGATGAGTGTGATATGGGAAGAACTTGAGTCTCTGATTCAGCTACCTACCATAACAGTTGAGACACCAGAAGTGAATGCATTTGTGACAGCTCTGGAGAGGTAGAGAGAAGAGCAGCACTTGTTTCAGTTCCTCACTGGACAAAGACTATGCACCCTAGAGGAGTCAACTGCTGATGCAATCCCCTTTACCCTTTGTAGAAGCAGCGTGTGTAGCTCTGCAGTAAGAAGAAGCACAAAGAGATGTGCTGAACATAGCTAAGATCGACTTAAATGCATCAGCTATGTACAGTAGAAGCCAGAGAAACCCTTCAGATTCTTCTAATAATCACAACAATCATGGAAATCAAGGAAGAGTTGTTGTGAAGGAGGGATGCACTGCTTGTGGCAAGAGAAACCACTCATCTGAGAATTGCTGGACCTTGGTAGGATATCCAGAGTGGCATTTCTAGTCTAAGAAGGGAAGCAGAAGAGCCAACAAAGGGAAGGTGCATATGCTGGTGGTACTGGTCACAAATGGAACAAACAGAAGGGACAAGGAAGCATGATGGCAGCTAATGCTCAAGCTCAGGGGGAGAATATAAGCTCAGGGCAGCTTCTCACACCACAACAGATAGAGCAGCTGCTCAAAATGCTACCAGGAAGCTCTAAACTTGGAAAGGCAAGTTCAGACACAAAAGAAGAATTAGAGACAACATTTGTAGGTATGATATGTTGCTATAATGCATATAATGTTGGAAATGGTTGGATTATAGACTCTGGTGCATCTGACCAAATGATCCCCCTGATGAAAGTATACTCATAAATGCTTTGTACACCAAGGATAGATCAACTATAAATTTGCTAAATGGGAAAACTGCTGCTATCACTTGTGTGGGAGATGTTAAATTGAAAAATCATATGTTATTAAAAAATGTGTTGTGTGTGCCTAACTTTAAACACAACTTGCTATCTGTAAACAAGCTGATAAAGGATGGAAAATGCAGTGTGAATTTTTATCCTGATATGTGTGTAATTCAGGACTCGGTACCAAGAGAATTGAAGGGATAGGTAGGGTTCGAAATGGACTCTATCACCTGGTGAATGTGCCTGTAGATGTGGTAAAAGATGAGATCAGGAGAGCAGCAAAACAAAAGAAGAAAAAAGTAGCCGAGAAGAATGGAAGCATGAATGCAGAAGTGGAGAAGAAGAATGCATGTCATGTGAGTAGGAAGAGAAATAATTGTGTTCTATGGCACAATAGATTAGGTCATTCTCCTATGAGCAAAATTAAATAGACGGGTTGTATTGACAAAGATTTTGTAATGAATGATGATGTTTGCATTACTTGTCCTATGGCTAAATTTACTAAAATGCCATTTCCTATGAGTGATTCTGTTGCTAAGCAGGCTTTTGATCTTATCCATATTGATATTTGGGGGTCATATAAAGTGTGCACGGGTGGAAAACACAGGTTTTTCTTGACTGTGGATGATCACACCAGAACAACCTGGGTGTATCTACCGAAATTTAAATCAGATGCCTTTGGTGTTCTGAAAATGTTCACCAATTTTGCTTTAAATCAGTTCAATGCCAATGTGAAAGTGATAAGATCAGAAAATGCTCTTGAGTTTGAAGATGGTAAATGCAAAGAATTTTTTGCTGAAAAAGGGATAATGCACCAGACCACATGTGTGGATAGGCCACAACAAAATGGAAAGGCAGAGAGAAAGCACAGAAATGTATTAGAGATGTCAAGGGCTATGAGATTTCAAGCTGGATTACCTTTAATGTACTGGGGTGATTGTGTATTAACTGTTGTACACATAATTAACAGGTTGCCAACACCTGTACTGTGTGGACAGTCACCATATGAAAAATTATTCAAGAAAAAACCATCGTATGAACACCTGAGAGCCTTTGGATGTTTATCATTTGCTTGTAATCCTAGCAGGGAAAAAGATAAATTCATGGCAAGAGGAGTGCCATGTATCTTCTTGGGATATCCAGCTGATAAAAAGGGATACAAGTTGCTGAACTTGATGACAAGGCAGACATTTGTGTCCAGAGATGTGAAGTTTTATGAGCATATCTTCCCTTGCAACCAAGCTAGCAAGAACAAATATTATCAGCCACAGCCTGTAACCATGCCTGTGAATGAAGAAACTGATGGATATGAAAGTCAAGGAGTAGTGTCTGAAGTTGAAAATGAACATGAAACTGAGACTGTAGAGCAAGTGACAGAAAATGAAGAACAAGAAGAGACAGAACGAGAAGAAAACCAAGTAGCCAGAAGTTGTAAGGCACAGAAGGGCACCAGGTTGGATGGATGACTATGGAATTGAGTTGCCTGGAGTAAAGGCAGCTTATATAGCTCATGTGGCAGAGGTGACAGCTCAAAAGACCTTTTCAGCATTCTTAGCTCAGACAAAACTTGTTCAACAGGATCTTGTCAAATTCAAGGATGCTGTAAAAGAAGAAAAATGGGTAAAAGCTATGAATAGTGAGCTGTAGGCATTGGAAAGTAACAACACTTGGGATCTGACCACCTTGCCACCAGGAAAAAGGGCAATTGGATCCAAATGGCTATATAAAACGAAATTCAACCCAAGTGGGAGTGTAGAAAGAGAAAAGGTAAGACTTGTGATTTTGGGAAATAGACAAAGGGAAGGCATTGATTATGAACAAACCTTTGCACCTGTAGCAAAGATGACTACGGTGAGGGCATTGCTTGCAGTAGCTGCCCTACAAGGGTGGAGCTTGTCTCAGATGGATGTGAAAAATGCATTTTTACATGGAGATTTGCTAGAAGATGTGTACATGAAACTTCCTGCAGGATATGCTGGACCAGGAAAAGAGATTGATGTTGGACAGGGGGAGTACTCTTATGCAGATGCACATCCTGAAATAGTGTGCAAATTAAAGAAATCCCTTTATGGACTAAAACAAGCACCCCGACGGTGGTTTGCAAAGCTGTCAAGTGCCTTAATTCAGTTTGGTTTTGTTCAATCAAAGGCAGACTACTCTCTGTTCATCAAGAAGGAGAAAGGTGAATTTGTTATCATTTTAGTATATGTTGATGACCTGTTAGTGGCTGGGAACAACAATGAGCTCATTAGCAAGGAAAAGGAATTCTTAGCTACACAATTTCATATGAAAGATCTAGGTGATCTGAGGTACTTCATGGGCATTGAAGTTGACAGAAGCTCTCATGGAATATTCATATCTCAGAAAAAATACATAGAAGATATGCTCAAGGAATTCAAGTTGCATGATGTTAAACCTTTGAAGCTCCCTATGGATTCCAAATTGAACCTGACAGCAGAAATGGGTACACCTCTTGCATATGCAACAATATATCAACATCTGGTGGGGAAGTTAATCTACTTAACTATCACCAGACCAGACATCAGCTACTCAGTTCATACCCTCAGTCAGTTTATGAAAAAACCGACATCAGTGCATTTGCAGGCAGCAAAGAGGGTCCTAAGATACGTGGCTGGAGCCCCTGGGCAAGGAATATTGCTTGCCTCGAAGTCTGCAGCTATACTAACAGCATATACTGACAGTGATTGGGCAGGATGCCCTATGTCAAGGAAATCAACCACGGGATTTTGTATTTTCTTAGGTGATTCTTTGGTATCATGGAAGACTAAAAAGCAATAGGTGGTAGCACTATCATCTGCAGAAGCAGAATATAGAGCGATGGCCCTTACAACCTATGAAATCACCTAGCTAACTCAACTGTTCAAGGATTTGTGGTTGAAGTCATTGTTGCCAGTGGGAGTAAAATGTGATAGTCAAGCTGCTCTCTCAATTGTTGTCAATCCAGTGCATCATCAACGTACAAAGCATGTCGAAATAGATTGCCATTTTGTATGAGACAAAGTCACTCAAGGAGCAATCAAGCCTACCTACGTATCCACTCATCATCATCTAACTGATATTCTGACCAAGAGTCTACCAGTGATCAAACATCAGTACATCATGGACAAGATGGGAGTTCGGCAACCTCCTCCTCACCATCTTGAGGGGGAGTGTAGAAGGTGATAGGATTATGTATAATAGATATGATTAAGATATTATTGATGTAATTAGTTAGGAATATGTGTACTGCACTACCAAACAAAATAGTTGGTGTGCTGGTGTAGGATCAGAGGATGATTTCCTCTGTTTATTCCTCCTCCTTGTCAGTTTGTACAGCTGGTGTATTAGGTTAAGCATACCCAAGTATATATACTGTAAAGTTGGCCTGAAGGCCGTCAGATCAATATACACAAAAACCACAAAACAGTGGCTTGAATCAAACTCTCTCT